TTTTTTTTTTTTTTTTTTTTTTTTTTTTTTTACCAAGAGGACTTCAATGCTTCTGTTAATTCATCTTAGGGTCTCTTCTCCCTATAACCTGCCCCCCAGCCCCGCTGCTGCTGCAGTCAGAGGGACATGCCACCTGTATCTTCCTGCTGCTTCTTGGATTCCCTCACTTTCCTTTCTTCTTGGACCTTGACTTCCTGTCTGAAGAATAACGGTATAATTCAATCTGTTCTCTATCTATGTGGGAATGGACTCCATGAAACAAGAGTACAGGGAGCAGGAAGACAGGGAGGCTGAACCCACAGGGTCAGTGCTGAGAAGCAGAGAGTTAGGAGAGAGGCAAAGATATCCAGCTCAGAGGCAGAGGAAGAGAAGTTTTTGCCCAACTCCCAAGCATAACAATAAGAGCTGGAGAACACAAAAGAGGAAAAACTGTCCTACCCGCCAGTCTTCCTGAAATAAAAAAAGTATGCCAGGGCTGCTATCAGAGTCACCCCAGCGACAGATCCAACGACGATGCCGGCAATTGCACCTCCCGAGAGGCCAGAACTCCCTTGTGTTGGGTCAGCTGTCAGGGAAGGAAAGACAAGAAGGAATGAAGTAAAATGTTTTCCAGTGGTGTGCCCGGGAATTCTTAGCATGAGATGAAATTATTTCCATTTAAAGGATGAAAAAACTGAGGCTTAAAGTGGTTTGTAAAAAGTACTTGAATCTGTATGGTTGATCAGAGACAGACCTGGCTACCTGACTTCACAGCCAACACGAGTGGTAGGAATAATTGCAACTAACATTTATTTTGCTTTCTCTCTCTCTCTCTCTCTCTCTCTCTCTCTCTCTCTCTCTCTCTCATATTTTGCCAAAAGTTATTGATTACTCTATTAAGTCTTTAAAACCTACAATGAAGCAGGTGAAGGAGGTGATGTAAACTAGAACCCTAGGAGGCTGATGCAGGAGGATTGTGAGTTTGAGGCATGTCTGGGTTATATAATAAGGTTCTTGCCTCCCTAAAAGCTCCCCCAAGCTAGTGGTGGGAGGGAAATAAATAATAGAATGAACATGAACAAACAGACTAGAGTAACAGTAGAGAAAACTGATGAACCGATTGTTGGCTCTTCAAAAATGGTGAGTAATATTGCTAACCTTTTCCCACATTAACTTTGGAAAAAAGAGATGGCTATTTCTAAAATTTGAGACCTTACCATCCATTCTCAAGGATAACAAAAATTTCAAGAGAACTCAATACTTATGAGCTAGCTGTTGGGTGGCTGAGATGCA